AATATTAAGGGGAAAAAAGCTCTGCTTTTTAAAAATAAGCTCCATTTCCTTTCATATGTAGAAACTAGTTTCTATTTCCTCTCTTACTCATGAGATGGATTATCAGTTGTTTACCTCCTTAGGTCATGTAAAAGACAGCAGCATTTCAAAGAAATCACTTGTTTTCACAGCTGGGCTCAAGCTCAGCCCTTGTGACGGGCAAGAGTTGGTGCAGATCGGCTGGACGGCACAGTGGCCAGCAAGGGAATTAAGAGCTTGCCCAAAGGCAACATGCAGAAACCAGCAGAGCTAAGGAGGAGAATGGATATAAGAGCAAGGCCTGTTAGAAGCAGAAGGGAGGTGGAGAAGATGAAATAATTTATGAGGAATGGAGATGTGGAGAGTTCCTGGGACTTTTTATGCTCTTGAACTTCATTGAACTTGTTCAGTGTTGCAATCTTGGAAATTCTCTCACATTTCGTCTTTCCCTTGCACTCTACCAAGTAATTGCTGAAAATGATGGAAAAGAATGCACAGAAACATGATTAGGTAGAATATTAGCAAGCATTTGGAAGTTTCTTCTTTGCATATGGGGTATTTTCTTGCGCATTAAGGTATTTGCTGAATTACTCAGAACCATGCTAACAAAAGACTTGGAAAACATTAAAATGCAGATGTTTGTAGCCAACTGTGCTACTGTTGCTGGCTAAGAAAGCAAAACAAAACACTCCTCCCAGAAGCCTTCCTCTTCTCTCTTTTTAAACACAGAGTTAAATAGACATGATGCCAACATTAGGACAAGAAGCAGAATGTATCAAATTACTGGGTTACTCTTATAAGTCCTCAAATTTATCAGGCTCAATATACACTTTTTGCAATATACTGTCATGAGAATAGATAAAAGACTAATTATTAAAAACGAAAATATTCAAGTAGCATCTGACACCCTTCCTCCACAAAGTAGAGCAAAGCAGGGAAATTAAGAATTGACAGAAATGGGTCTACTACTAGTCAGTAATGGACAATCAAGAATAAATAAATAAAAGAAAAATAACTCTGAAAAGTTTCTCAGAGTTATGCCCTAATTATTGCATATATATCATGTTTAATCTGACCAGAGCCTGGATTACAATGCTGTCCATAGAAAGCAAGGTTAATGAACCTGACTGTGGGATATTCACATATACAGTATGGATAAGCACATAAAATTTTAAGGCACTATACAGTTTAATTGTATTTTAAGAATAACTATCACTTTTAACACTACAGAGGTCAATCTAGCATATTCAGAACGATAAAATCCTGGAGGTCGAAGGGGACCAATATCTATTCCATCTAGAAACGTTAGTCCAACTGCTCCTCAAATCAGGGCCCTCCACAATAACTATATTCTTAGTCAGCAAAATACTTCTAATTTAAGAAACTCCATACAGGCCTTTTCTTGCTATCCTGGGGTCTACAGAAACCAAGCACAAATTAAATCACAGAAAAATTCTTGCCATTCCTATCATGCATATAATTTCTCTTTTTCTTTTCACTTCAGTCATACGCACATGTAGGTCTTGGAGACACTTTTCCCATTCTTGGGATAAGATAATTCACACTAGACTCAACAAAAAAAGTCTTAAAGGTAGATAACCATGACCAGGAAGAGTGAATCAGTCAGTTCAATATTCCATCAAAAGAGAGAARTATGACTTGAAAACAAGAGTTACTCAGCGGAAGAAAGTAATTATTTATCACAGTATTATTCACATTTTCTTTTTTTGCTATCTCAAATGGGAAGTTCAAGATTTATTTCTCAATGAAATAGATTGAGGTTTATTAAAATGTATTCCTGCTGAAAGTCTTGTCAAGGTTTTACAAACTTTATTTGTAAACATAGGGCCTAATCCTCTGGTCCTGTCAACATGAGTGAATGAGAAAAGCAACATTGTCCTCTTTACACATGGAGGAGGAAGAGAAGTAGCCCAAGAAAACAGTGACTGAGATTTACTCATTGGATGTACTGGAGGAAACTCACAGATGGCAACCTAGAAGCTCAAGACATAATTTTAGGAGTACTAAGAGCGTTAGAAACTCAGAACATGAAAATGACACGTTTTCATGAGAACAACAGCTAATGCCAGACCATCTCATCTCTCTCCTCTGCTTGGTAACCATAACTCTTCCTCTTTCTGCCATCCAGTACTACACCTATTCCTCCTTTTCGACTTCCTTCAAGATAGTAGAGACAGAATCCTAAAGGCAATGGCCACTATATGCCCCAGATATAAAAAAGTATATAGCTTTTAAATGGCTATACACTATCTGCAAATAGACACTTTGAGTATACTTGTCCTTCYATGTATTCAAAACTTGCCCTAATTTATAGAAATTTCAGCCAAAAAAAGCTCCTATTAATTTCTGTTTATATCTACTACCTTCAAATTATCCTGGAGTACATTCAGAACAATATTATCAAAAAAGGAATATGTCATATCCCAATAGGGATGTCAAAAGTATAGGCATAGAGGATGAAGCTGGACAAAGACTTCAGACTCACAAGAAGGTCATACATAAGCCAAGATAACTCACATATTATGTCAGAAACAAAGGCAAAAACCTACTTGCAAAATCCTTTAAGAAAATAGCAAAGCCAAAACTCACAGTGAAATGAGTCTATTTTACCCTCCAGACTCCACACTGTTTATTACCTAAGTAGCTGATTCCCTCCTTCCAAATAAAACACCTGGAAAATGTAATTCAACTGAAGAATAACAGAAGTGTCACTTGGATGTGACAAGAATAGGGCTCCTTGTTTGCTTGGGAGAACATTTATTGCAAGAAGGAGACATAAAACATCCCTGTGGTAGAAGGTATTTCTGTTCTAGGAGAAGGTCTGAAGCTACACCTGTAACTTGCCTAGATCTGCCTCACATAGGCCAAATAAAAGGTAGCTGTTTCATTTCAAATAGGGCAATAGATGTCCTTTGTGCGGCAAATAAAATGTCATTACTCCTGCCTTGATAATAGATTAAATCTGTCTATACTCTTAGAAAATATAAATAGAGCATTTGTGGCCCATGTCTGCACTTTGCCTGTTACAGATTCTTTTTAAAATCTTGGACTACTTAAAAACAAAAAAAACCAAAAAACAAAATCAAGCATCTGAAGAAAAAAGGCCCTTATTATAGAACAGAATCAAAATAGTTTATGTTAGAAGAGACCTCCAGAGATCATTTAGTTCAATCCCTGCTCCAAGTGGGAATAGCTTCCAAGATTAGCACAGGTTGCTCAAGGCTTCCGCTGTTCTTTGACTGCTTCCAAGGACGTAGATAGCACAAACTCTCTGAACCATTTGCTTCATTCTTCTCACTGATCTTTACTTTTAACCCCTGGGAAAGGGGTTCCTTGGTACAACTTGGGTCTGCTGCACCTTACCCTCCTCCTGCACACTTCTGAGAAGAGCCTGAGTCCAGCTTCTCCGTAATCCTCCCACTGGTTGGCTGAAAACAGCTGTTACCTAAAGAAACTCAGCCTCCTTGCCATCACATCATACATCCAAAATCAGCATGCTAGGAATGAAACAGGGTGCTGATAACATTTCTCCCTTCCTTTTTAGCCTAGTTTGCGTACRCACAGGTTGTGGGGAAGATAGTAACTTAAATCCTCCTATACAAAGGTCATGCCTACCTGATGACATGGGACCAATGTTTCCTGACGTACAGCCTCTGCAGGCAGATTTGTGTCACTGATAACACACACGGGACCACCAGCCTCCTCCACCGGCCTCCTGTGGCTGTAGCCACCTCGACGCAGGCTCAACCAGCCTGTCCTGCGCGTGGTTTTGTCTCCCGCAGCACCACAATCCACCACCAAACCCATGATATGCAAGCAGCCTCTCTGATACCACAAGCACATGCAGCTCTGTACAAGTCCTTTGGGAGCTATTTGTGAGAAATCAGAATTGCTTGCCCAGCTTAATGAGGTCACATCTTTGAAGTTTCTCAGAAATCACAAATACTGGGATACCTGGGTACCAGATCAAGTATTTAACCTTCTCAGTCATCAATCCAGAAAGATAAATGAAGCCAATTTCCATCTCCTTATCGCTCCCAAGTGAGATTTCTTCATCTTGCTCTGTACTGATGGTGGAAGCTTCATAGTAGAACACAAGTATGGGTAAAATGTATGTCTGCCTCAGACACATTGTAGTGCTCAGATTGCCTCTATAAACAACAGCTCTTGGACTTAAAACAATCTTATCCTATGCTAATACACTTAAAATTAGAAAGATATTTCTGACTCAAGGCAATGGGTGTCCAAATAATCTGACATAGAAAAATTAAACTAAATTCATCAAGTGCAGAACCCTTTTAAGCAACAACCACACAATCAAACAACACCTCCSCTATATAATGTATCTAAACAAGACAGATGCTTCAAAATACTCCATTTTCAACAGTAACTAATACATGATTCGCAAATATCTTTTTGAATGTGGAGCCTTGATACTGGCATATCTCAAAGTATTTTTTTTTCCTCTGATATTCCACCATTTCCATCAAATCAACTGTAAGATGCTGGWTTTTAGAACAGAGCCGGTATATCAGGCACTTAGTAGGTGAGCTTAGTCAAGATGAAACTGTAATACCAGGAGCACATTTGAGCAAACCAAGAAATGCTTCGTGTTTGAAGGCACCAATCAGAAAGGGACAAGAATTTGAAGCTCTGGCATGGGGAGAAGTTTTTTTCTTTTTTTTTTTTTTTGGTAACATACACAGACACAAAAAAACAAACCCAAACCGCTTCAGTCTCATCCGGTTGAGCCCCAACCACGAGACACCGCTGTCTGTTTTCTTTCTCAGAGAGGCCCACGTCACCAGGCCCCGAAGAAAAGGGGAACTTCCCGAGCCTGCGATGAGGCGACGCGATAAACACCTCGGCTCGGGCCGGCTCGCGGGGCCGCCCGCCTCAATATAAGGCGGCCGCGGATGCRACAGGGTGGCACTCGCTGCTTGGAGGGTTCCTGGGGCACAAGCCACCGAGCGCCGAGGTGGGGCATAATGCCAGGATTATATTTTCCCCCCAACACCATGACTGACTTGAACGCCAAAGACGACTGCAAGCTTGCAGATGGTAAAATTCGTAAGAAGAAGCAAAAGGCTTTGTAAGTATCTATATTTTAATATAACTTCTGGCTTTTTAGAAGTGAAACTAACCCTAGAAACTTGGATTTGGCGCCATTTTTCAAGCTCGTTGCGAAGTCTCTTCAAAGTCTAGGGCAATATTGTCATTAAAAATGGCTTGAATCGATGGAAACCGATTCACCGATTCTGCAAACTAAGCAAGAAAACAATTTGGATACACTGGGAAMCACTTAGTCTTTTGAAAGCTATCACTTTGATAGCTAACTTGCCAAAGATGGATCATAGGATGGATCTGTTTGTCTCCGTCTAGAAGTCTTACGAAGTTTATGAAGAATTAAAATGCAACTGCAATTTCAATAGATTTCTAGATTCAATAGATTCAATATCTATTCATTGGTTTCAGTGGCACAGACCTGAAGAACTATTTGAAGTGCATGGTACCTCATCTCGAATCTGGGATCAGGTCTAACTACAGAAACGTTATGTAAGTACTGATATACAGCAAACTATAACAAAAAATTACAATAGCTAGATTATTATATGGTAAAGACTATTGCGTTCATTTATTTCTAAAGTACTGCTAGAACCACAGATTATTTCTGCTGTTGATTGATATCAATAATATCAGTTTCCAAAGTATAAGAGGTAAATGGTAGGAAGCAAAAGCTGTTCATGGAGCGGAAAATTATTTCTTAGTGTTTCTTTTATATGTATATACACACACACACACACACGTATATGTCTCTGTGAAATGATGAAAGAGAAGATGCCTCAGTTCTATGTGTTTCATTCCGAAGCATATTGTACCCACTATTGATGTCTTGCAAGAAAGGATGGAGACATACAGCAGTATCTGAACTACTGCACGGCACAGGGGACCTCTGAACAGTAGTTCAGAGAAGCACAATATTATTTGGTCATAGTCATAGTACAAGCCCATCCTTCTGGAAACAGGATTCAGGATAACTTCCCAGACTCCTGTTTCCCAACGCTGCTTGTTTTTCCTCAATACGGGATTACTCTCGGGGCCTCAGTTCTGCAGGAGTCAGTGGTAAACTCAACAAGTCACTACTACTTGTTCCTAGAACAGAATAAGAAATTGCACCACTTGTTTCCTTTAAGTATGTGATTCCTTGATTAAAAACCTTTCTTTTTTTCTCCTCTCTTGTCAACTTAGGCTTTCTGCAGAAGAAGTAATGCAGTGGTCTCAGTCTCTGGAAAAGCTCTTGGCCAGCCAAAGTACGTACTTCTTTCTTACTGAAGATGAAATTTGGTATAAGCAGGTGAAAAGTATGAAACTGCATTCTGCAAATACTGCCAAAAACCTGCCAGCTGCATTTCAGTTATTCACAGCTGCTAACTGGGTGTAACAGTAATATGGGTAGGGTGGTCAGCTTTGGATCCAGGTCTTCCATCAGCACCATATCCCCCCCAGTATAGAAGGTTAAGAAAAAGAAGGAAAAGCTTAATTCACTGCTTTTTGATCAGACTTCTGCTCTTACATAACACTTATATAACTCATAATTTGAAACTGTGTATACATTATGCACAAAGACAGTCCATTTCAAGAAGACTACAATCTATTAATATGCTTCATTAACATCCAAGGTCTAGTTCTAAAAAAAAATTAAAAATAAAAAAACACCAAAAACCCACAACACTAAATGTCAACAGGAAGACCTTACCGTCCTTGAAACTAAACTAGCAAGATGTTGAAGAAGGGTAGTAAGGGGCATTTTTGGCAAGATTTTAACACAGACTTCAGCAGGCCTTCTGCTATAAACTATTTATTTTATTCTCCCTGGTCACAGCTGTTGTGCTATAAATGATGATGTATTTGTGTTGGCTACAGGTGGCCAAGGTGTCTTTCGGGAGTTCCTGAGGTCCGAGTTCAGCGAGGAGAACATTGAGTTCTGGCTGGCCTGCGAGGACTACAAGAAAACCAGGTCCGATCGCCTGCAYGGCAAAGCAGAAAGGATTTACGAGGAGTTCGTTCGGGCAGATGCTATTAAACAGGTAACCACAAAACCCAATCTGTGCAGTGTTATAAGTAGAAGGATTCTGGAAAATCAGAAGAGGCAAACATAGGTTTTACAGAGCTGCATTTACATAGGAAGACATCTTTGCAGGTTTTAACGAGCTGATTTGACCCATTAGTGTCCTCAGCTGGGAGATGATGAGTTCTGGCCAGCACAGTCCCATCGCCCAGGCCTGGGAGCAGTCGCACCAGTGGCGCTGCACGTGACAGGGCTCTGAGTCAGCCCGCCTCGAGCTGCTGCTGGCGCTGGGAGTCAGGTGCTCAGAGCAAGTCTGGCTCTTAGCAGAGCTGTGGCGTTTCTCTTCTCCTTTAAAATAGGAAGGCGCTTTGGGAAAACTGGAAGTATTGCGTTTTGATGGTATTGCGAAATYGAGATTCATTTTGCACAGTTTCTCCTAACATCTTAATCAGAAGGTTTATTTTTTCTCTCCAAGTGCCCCCTCTGTTGTTTAATTTTATTAGTTCTGACTTCATCAAAAATGCTTTTATATATTGAGCAGCAATATTTGCGCTTACCTAGAATGTAAGCTTTTAAGTTCCCTTATTTTGCAATTCTCATATTGAATATCAATATGGAATCTACAACTAGGAACTTATTTACTGACAAGAAAAAATAATCAATATAGAAAAAAGTAAATTTAATGTGAACAATATTTTCCTCTTTCTAGATCAACATTGACTATCATACAAGGGAAGCAACAGCCAAAAGGGCGCAAGACCCAACTCACACAAGTTTTGATGAAGCCCAGAAAACAGTCTTCATCCTCATGGAACGGGATTCTTACCCCAGATTTTTGAAATCCAAAGCCTACTTGAACCTTTTAAACCAGCTGCAGATCAACAACTCAAAATAAGGAGGCTAAGGCCACAAAGGGCTAAGTAGACCCTGCACCACATATCCTGTGACAAGATCCTTGGGGATGGCTGGATGCCAGCAAGGAGGACATCTGCCTCAAGGGAGCACTAGGGAAGATGCAGACAGCTCCACCAGCAGAAGAAAGCAGGATAAAAGCTGGCAAGATGGCTACAAGTGAGAGCAACATGGGGAACAAAAGCCACTCTTCCTACATGCCATGGACCCAAGGCAGGATGCTATTTATCATCTGAACAACACTGTGAATATTGATCGAACTACTAGCTCCCAAAGAACCRTTAATTATTAGGAAATGCCAGCTAACAAGCTTCTGAGTGATGAGGAAAGATGAAAAATAAATACAGCTGACACTTTTGTACATACCAAGGAAGAGCCTAGACAAGATAGATATTAGCTTTTTTTCCTTCTTAGAAAAAGCTGTGAAGTGTAAATAAGCACGGGAGCAGCTCCATTATGACATTGTACTATGTAAATACAAATTGACATGTCTTAACAATGATTTATTTTAACTTATGTAAGAATTATATAAGCTGTATTCCTAAGTATGTATTCAATGGGCAGGTATGTAGCATATTTGTTTTCCTGTTTAATTTATTGCAAAATAATAAGCACCTCTGCAATTAAATCTGCTGAGAAAAACATGCAAGTTCTGCAGTCATTTTCATTCTTAAGTGGCCTGTCCAGCATAATCAGTGCAATGAGCTTGAAGCACATGCTTCCCTTCTGTTCCATCCTGACCCTATTTCCCACCCACTTGTTCAAATAGCAATTCCCTCTACACCTCAGGACTCAGCTCCCCCAGAAAAACATACATTTTATGGGGCCTTAAATTTGTTTATCTAGAGGTGGAAATTTACATCAGCTGCCAAGAAACAGAAGCAGGTCTAAGTTTCCTTCCTATTTTTCATACTCCCCCAGTTACTACCACCATCTGAGTCAAAACTCAAATATAGAAGTCATTTGATCATTGAGCCTGTCGTTCAATCCCATTCAGTGTGGATGACATGTCGTAGTAGAGCAGATCACTCATGCTTACTTACATATTACGGCAGTAATAGGAGGCTGCCCTGCACTCCCATTTCCCATTGTGGTAGTTCTACACAGCTTACTATGCAAGATTAAGACGTTAATTTACAATATATCAATATATTTGTAGTGAAAAGCAAATGTCTTTTACTGCTCGTTACATTTCCTCTGCAAAACACACAATGCTATGAGTAGGCTATGCCACAGCTGACATTGACAGGAATTAAAAAAGGAAAATAGCAATTGCACTTGAACTATATAACTTCAAATGCAGACACTATCAAATCTGGCATGTTTAATATCTTGTGACATTAGAGTTCAAAATGAAAATACAGAGTGCCCTGATCTTGATGTACTACCATCATGAGACACAGAGGTCACAAGGGAGACAGTACAAGATTTGATTGCATCCTTATAGATTTTCCATTTTCCTGAATAGCACAAGCTTAGTCAGGCACAGTCCCTTAATCTKCACCAGAGGAGAAGCTCTAAAGCCACATGAGTCACCTCCTGGGGAGCACAGGCTGTGTCTATACTGCCATCCTTTGGGGACCTCAAGGCTCCCAAAGAGGAACACAGTTTTTAGTCCGGAAGAGAGCTCAGCTTACAGCTACAGAAGCAAGGGTAGTCACTGCCACCTCTACAATCATTATAGCTGGAAAAGACCTTTAAGATGATAGAATCCAACCAAGCCCTTCACGGCCATGCCTGCTAAACCATGTTCCCAAGGGCCCCATCTACATGTTTTTCAAACACTGCCAGGAACAGTGACTYTATCACTTCCCTGGGCAACCTCTTCCCATGCCTAACTACTATTTCCATATAAAGTTTTTCCTAATATCTAAGAAGAGAAGAGATCGACCTCCGCCTCACTACAACCTCCTTTCAAGTAGTTGCAATAAGTCCTCCCCAGAGCCTCCTCTTCTCCAAACTAAATAATCCCAGCTCTCTCAGCTGTTCCTCATAAGGTCTGTGCTCCAGACCCTTCACCAGATTCATCGCTGTTCTTCAGACACGCTCCAGCACCCTTCTGTAGGTGAGGGGCCCAACACTAAATACAGTACTGAAGATGCAACCTCACCAGTGCCAAATGGTGGTGGGTTCACTGCACATATACCTTCAGTCTACCTTAACAGCAAAGGATGAGACTCACACATGAGTTAAAGTCCTCCAAAGATACTCTAAAAAAAATGTTCCTGTTTTCATGGGCCAACTTTTATACATCTTGAAGCTATCATGAACCTCATGCATGACAAGAGCCAAAAATCCAACTACAAACATCCAGAGTCCATTAATGAGAGACATCCCAGGCTGCTCCCCTATCCCTAGCAACATTACCATGTTTCACCAAGGAATAAATAGCGCAACGGATACTCAGAGCTCTCTCTGTGATGGTGTTGTAAGGTGTTGTAACATTATATAGCTGTTGCTATAGCAGGGCTATACAAAGCCAGGTGTGTTTAAACAAAGTGGAAGAGTCCTGAAAATATTTTACTGTGGTTTAGTGCTGCCTATACTAGCCTGCTCTGTAAAGACAAGAGGCTACAAGCCATAACTTAATGGTACAAAAGAAGATTTATTAGTTTGAGATRCTTCTTAATAGTCATATGCTTTAAAAATAGTCAAGAAGTAGGTATTCTTATTATTTCTGCAAAAACTGCTGTAAGAATTGCAATACATAGTGCTTGTTTTGAAGGGAATTCTTTCTTTGAAATATCGCCCAAATGGAGTTTCTCTGGACTCAATGAAACAGCAGAGCAGATGGTTCAAGGGGATCAAGGACTCAGGGCTTCCTGCTTGTTTGCAAACTTGGGCTCATTTAGAAGGTACACGCACCACATCAAGTCCTTTTGTGACTTTGCTCATAACCTCTTTCCCCAGGCTGAGCACACAGCCTCAGTAGCACATACTGGTTTCACAGCTGTGGGCTGTACACTACCAAGCATGGCAGCCTCTTCCAAAACACTACATGTTACACATCAAAAAAAATGGAAAATATGCCTCTCTGCAGAGTTCCCCCATTCAAAGAAACTTGTGAATGCAAGCCCCAGTTACCTACTTGTAAACAAATTGGTAAGCAACCAAGGGAAGCATCCTTTTTCAGCTTGTGCTAGACTGAGTTAATTATTAGTTAAGTTTTCAGACTTTCCAAAACAATGAATCTGTGCAAAACTAAACTAAACTAAAGCTTGGCTATAGGTTCTGTTAAATAATCCTTAATAAAATACATATATCAAAATCTGACTTGTTTTTTTTTTTTTTTGTTTAGCTTTGGGGAAAAAAAATAATGGAAAATTCTTTTTCAGTTCCATTCATTGATTCTAAGAAAAACATTAACTCAGCTCTGCTATCAGCTACAGATCAGTATTGGAAATCAAGATGCAATATGGAAAGAGGCTTTAAGRTTTGGTAGTGACGACTTGGACTCTCCTGAAACACCATGCCTTACCCCATAGGAAAGGTTTTCAGTACTTAAACCCCACAGACAATTATACCATCTTGGGACATGCATTTGAAGTGAGATAACTTCTCCTTGCACCAAAGGGAAGTCCTCTTTCCAGTGGGATTCAGTAGACCAGCTTTGCAGTTGCCCAAATGTGGATTTCTAAGATTGTCTTTCATCTCGCCATTGTAAGAAATTTTGTCTAAATATAACCCCCGAAATGTATGTACTTTAGTATTATCTGCAATAATATTAAAAATATGGTATATGCTACTAATCACTTACAGGTCTGGGAAAAATGCTAACCAAAAAGTAGACACATCCTATAGTTATGCACGGTAAAGCAGGAAGGAAATTGGAGGCCAGGCCCATTTGAGATGGCGAAGAACAACACAAATTCATCACCTCAGACCGCCAAATGCCACTCCTCCCTGCCCACACACTGAAATAACAGCCTGTGAATATCATTGTCTTCCTCGCGGTTATGAAATGGGTCAAGAAGCAAAGAACACATGGCAGTAGGTGGAAAGAATAGATGTTCTCATCTTCCATTCACAGGCATGACTTGATTATGTCAGAGGTGCAATCCCTATAAATGAAGCTTTAATAAAAGGAAGTCTTTAGTCACTGAGTATAGGCAGAAATTACAAAACAAGTTCTTGCTTAATATTCCATTTGCTAAAAGACTGCTTAAGTTCATCTTGGATGTACAAAAACAAAGTCAGATAAGCCTCGAAGATGTTCCCCAATTTTCCTTGTGTAATTGCAGTTTCAATGTTCTAGTAGTAAAAAGACTTAGATCTCTGAAGGACATGTTCATTAAGAAATAAACTTATTTCCCTTTCTTTCTCAAAATAGGGCCAAAGGATACTCTGTTGAAAAACCCCAAAGCAGCTCAGCATTTTATTCTCACTGAGTATTGCCTTCAGCCTCTTTGAATAGTCCAAGTACTCCTCAGGCTTAAAGCACTTGGAAAGACTACCATGGTGACCAGTTTTCACACAGCTCCCTTTTCTCTAAAAAAATAAAAATAGCTCAAATGAAAAGTGACATGTAGAAATGTAAATCTTTCAGCATCACCCTAGACTTGTGTGCAGATACAAATCAGCAACACTTCCCAAAGTTTATTGTACAGTCAATGTACTAAAGCGACAGTACATCTGCCTACAGACTTTACACCTCTGAAAATGAGAGTCAGGAGGTTTTGGKTTTTGCTTTTCCCCTCCCTCTCTCCATGTTGCGGGTGTTGGAGAGCTTCAGCAATGACAGGAAAACTTTTAAAAATAAAATAAATGTCCTTTGCATAGTATTAACAACTGAGAAACCCATGAATTTCATACCACTTATGGAAAAAGTTTGTACTGTGTTTACTGTAGTTAATGGTTTGTCAACCATAAAGGTCAGTAAGACAGCTTTATAGATATAGAAGAGAGGCTTATTTAACAGGATCCAGAGCTCAAGCAAAACAACATGCTTGCTCATGTCAGCCTGAGCAATACACACATGGTCTTCAAAGCCCAGAGCCAAACTGGGAACTGGCTGTGCTAGAACAAACAGCTGGAAGGCGGGAAGCYCTGTGCAAACACGGTCAGATATTCTGGCCAACATGGGCCAAATAATAATCAATAACTTTGCACTAAGGCAATCACCCAGGATCCTTGCATGAAGCATGGCATGAAGCCCTACTGAAGCCCAGTGGGTACAGCAGCATTTACCAGGTTCTGCTGGAACCTGGGGCGTGCAGCACCCCTTACCCCAACCACGGCACCAGGAGAAGGTACAGGTTTACTTAAAACACAGTCCAAGCCTTTCTGTTTTGAAGGTTGAGGCTCACGTGGGACTTCAGGGCTGTTAGGAGGGAAAGGGGAAGAGAAAGGTCACAGCACTCAGAGGCAAGACCGGAGGTTTGAACTGTGGTTCAAGCACC